CTGGATAGACTGAGTAGCAGAGTGGAATTGAGAGAAAAGGGAATCCGTGGTCTGAAGGTAGGTCAGTAGATTGTCTAAGCCGAACTGAACAGAATAAGTAGGTTAAAAAAAATGGATAGAGCTCCAGAGGTCTGTGGCCAAACACAAAACGTCCCACATTCCTTTCATTGGAGTTCCAGAAGGAAAAGAGAAAGTGTGAGGCTGAGAAGTATTTCAAGAAATGTTTGAAAACATCTGAAATTTGGTAAAAGGCAAATCGAAAGAGCTGGATAAGCATCACATGCAATGAATCCCAAGGAAACCATATTCTGACCTGATGAGGTTTCTGATAACTGAGCCTAACCCTCACCCCCCGCCTCCAGATTCTGGAAGGCAGCGCAGTGAAATACAGTATTACCTGTTGATGACAATCATGTGAACAGCAGTGGGTATCTTACTGGAAATCATGAAAGCCAGAAAAATGGTGCAACATTTTGCAAATGCTGACAGAAAAATAATGTCAACCCATACTTCTGTACTTAGCAAAAAATAGAAATGAAAGTAAAATACAGACATTGTCAGAACGAAAGTAAACTAAGAGGTTTATCCTCATTTTTTCTCTTTCAAAAGAATTGCAAATAAAAGGGAAATGATAACTGAAAAAAACTTGGAAAGTCAAGAATGAATAGAGAACAGTAGGAAGGTGAATATCTAAGGACACTATTATCCTGAGGTTTGAAAATGATATTTGGCATTTGAAACAAAAATTACAAAATTTCTGAGGTAGTACTCATATACAGAGATAATTTTTAAGATAAGTATATTATAGAAAAAAAATTTTTTTTTTTGTACTGGGAGTCTAACTGAGGACCTTGTGCTTGCCAGGCAGGCACTTGTGCCACTGAGCTATCTCCCCAGCCCAAGACAAATATATTGTAAAAGAGGGAGATCAAGGGTTGTAATTGTAGGTAAAGTTTCTTTATTTCACTTGAAGTACAGAATGTTGCTATCGATAGTCTGTGATAAATTGTGTATATTGTAATCCCTAGAGAAAGTACTAAATAAGTGTAATAAGAGACGTAAACTATAGTTCTGTTAAGATATAAGAGTGAAAATTGCTTGAGTTGCCCTTAAGAAGACAGAGGAGGGAGCACAGGAATGATTACCAGAAAAGGAAGCGAATAATAAGGTGGCACACTTAAATCCTAGCGTAGAAATGGCTGCCTCAGGTGTAGATGGCTACACTCACCTGTTAGATTTTCACGTGGTTATAAAACCATTATACAAGCATAGAAGAAAATCACTTCAGGTATGAGGTGTCTTGCTAAAAGTTATCTATCACATAATCTGCAGTGAGTTTCATGCTTTATGGTGAGATTTACAGAAGCTTTCCCACTGGAGTTAGGAAACGAGACTAGAAATTTTCTATCACTGCTTCTGTGTAACAGTTAAGAAAAAAAATAAAATTGAAAAGGAAAATGTAATTATACTTTTGACTGTTGGGAAATCCAAGAGAATCTACAAACTTAAAACATGAAAGTTCAGAGTTCTTAGTTATAAAATCAACATAAAAACTGTCCATTTGTCTAATAAAAAGCTTGAAAATATGGTAGGTATAAAGATGTCATTTATTTTAGTGGCAGCAGCAGCAGCAAGAATCATAACTAAGAATATACCTATTAAAGGTGTATAAGATATTAATGTTCCTGGGTTGAGAAACTTAATTTTCTAACAATATCCAAATTAATGCATTTTCATGATACCTTCCCCCACATTAATTTTTGGAAGTGATTTTGAGAATTATATTGGTAGACAAAGGTCCATGAAAACTTAACCTATTCTTGTACAGGGAAAATTGGGAGTGGGGCAGGAGTGATTTGGCTTCTGGGGTAATTGGTCTGAGGTAAAGATACACATGCAGGTAGAAGGTAGGTCAGTAGGAAAAAACAAAGTTCAGATGTGGCTTTACAAATCAATAGGGTAAGCATGGACTACAGTAAATGTTAAGATCATTGGTTATTCACACTAAAATAATAAAAGATTTTGATCTCTTCAGGCTCAGTGATTGATTTCAGTTAGATTAAAGATGTAAATTTAATAAGCAAAATGTTAAAGATTTTACAGGGATCTATCAAAGGATATTTCTGACTACAGAGAAGTCAGTATACTTAACAGTAAGAGACAGTTAAAAATACCATAGGTAAAGTACATGACTAAGCAAGACACAAAAGAGGAAATAGTATCTGGAAAGTTTTTTAACTTTCCAAGTGTTCAGGAAAATGTAATTAATACAGTGAATATTTAACTCTTCAGATAAAGTTTTAAAAATGTATACACACAACAAAAGTATACAAGATGACTAAAATATAGGTGACTGTTTAAATTTTTAATAAAAGGCGCATTGCCGTTAATCCCCCTCAGAATACTTCCCCTGGCTTCAAACACATTTATCCCGTCATTCTCGCCACTTTGTGAGACAGTTCTGGAAGTTTAAAGGGTGTGCGCAGAGAGTGCGCACTGCCAAGTGCCACCCAGTGGAGAGGCAGGCGTGCGAAGTACTGCTCTGTGTCCTTGTCGGCTTCACTCGCTGCTGCTGGCCCGTGGGACCTGTGGCTGTCCCCACAGTCAGAATGACCACAAACGGTGAGGCGTTCTGAGTTGGTTCAGGACACTGAAACAGCCGTGCCGCCGCAACTAAAGACACGGAGCAAAGAGGGTTTCCAGAAAGGCTTCAGGAAGTGGCAAGAGTGGTGGCGTAGATTTGTTCAAAGTGCGGGAGAGTATTTGGAGGAGGGCGAAAGGCACTGTGGCTTTCACTGTGAACCTTTTTTTAGAAGTTTAAACATTCCCTGTCTTTGTCAGTCACACTTTGTATTTTATGTACACAAACTTTAAGTGGAGAATGTGGAGTTGAGTGCAGGGCATGCAGAGCATCGTGTTCTGACAGGCGTGTAAACTAGTGTTAATACCTTGCACATGTCCCCTTGTATTAAAATAGTGCTTTTTAAATATGTATAAATGTCAAAAATGAGATTTTGAAAGAAAGGAATGTATTGAGTAGAAAACTAAAAAATGGTGCAGTAGCATGATTTTACTTTTAAACCTATAAAATAAATGTATTGGTATGTAAGTGTATCCAAGTATAAAATGCCTGTGAATGATGAGCACTGAACTTCATGGTACAGCTGGGGAGGCAGGGAGAGAGAGGTGGAATCTGGAAGGTAAACGTTCAGGTGGCATCTCATCTAGGTGTAATATTTCTTCGGGAGAAAAATACTTGAAGCAAATGTGCTGAAGCTTGATGGTAGGTTTTTATTATAGTCAACTCTTGCGTATGTACTTAAAATAATTGACTAAAAATTCAGTTAAAATTCCTGAAACATTCTTAAAAGGTGATTCAAAATGTTGATTTTGGTCATGTTTTTAAATTTGAGTACGTGTGTATGTTTTTTTTTTTTTTTCTGGTACTGGGAATCAAACTCGCAACCTTCCACTTGCCAGGCAGGCGCTGTGCTGCTGAGCTAAATCCCCAGCCCCATGTGTGTATGTTTTAACTGTGAGGTTTTTCTTCCTTTTTAATTATGTGTATATTGTCTTGTATGTTAGATTTTATTTTTCTTTGTATGTTAGATTTTATATCTGACATTTCACTTGTGTTTTGTTTACTTTTATGACTATGCTGTTGTCTTTGATTACATTTAAATTTGTGATTATTACCCAGTTTAATTTTATGTTATTCTTGGTGCACATAAACATCATTTCTAAATTGAAATATTATAGGCTCAAAAGCTGGGTAGGCTTCCATTTAGGTTCTGAAACAAGCTTACACACAACTGCACGATTTAAGTATTGCCGGTGATGACTGAGTGCAGGGAAGAGACAGCCCTGTTCCCTCATTGGTTCCTTTTGTACTTGGTGTCTGGCACAGAACTTTTTGCTGGCCTTTACGTGTCATCATTGCGTAGTCTAGAAATGGTCACTTTTTAAATAATCTTAAGACTGCTGTTTATCAAATAACAGTGAGTTTCAAGCAATTACCCAAATGCGATTGCCTGGCTTTGGAGAACTGTAAAGACCAAAGTAACAGCTTTGGGAGAGAGCTGAGGGGCCTAAGTGGTTTCATTTTGGAGAGTAAAGAGTGCCATTGTGGAAAGCAAGATCTTGGGAAGATACTTTTTAACAAAAAAAAACTGCCTTGAAATTATAATGAGTTTTAAAAGTTAAGATTTGCTAAATACTAATTATGACTGAGGCTAGTTGATGTTAGGTATCCTTTGATTTTAGAAGAATGTATCTATTAAAAACAGATAAATTTTTTTTTATCATTTTATAATTTATTGATCGCCTTGGGATTCCATACTCTTACAGGATTTAATACCTTACCAATAACATGTTCTTAATTTTATACATAGCTTTCTTTTGGCAGTTATTATCTATCTTTTGTACACAGCTGATGTATTCAGAATTGGCCTTTAGAACTAGTATAATACTACGTCTGGCCTTTTAAGTGAAATCAAAGAGAAAACCTAAACCTCTAGACCCTTAAATATTAAGAATGTTGTTGTATATATAAGCATTAGTTTAAAAATGTAAACCAGAAATTAAAATCAGGTGAATTGGACAGTCAATATGATTATAAGTTAAAAATAAAATTGTTCAGTGACCTCCTTTTATAAATTATGATAATTTTTTTTGAGAATCTGCTATCAGGAATATTTGGTACCTTTTATACTTTGTTTACTCCTTTAAGCAGTTTTGTAAATAAGATGTCATTTTTGTTATATTTTTTTCTTTTCAGTTGGAGAAGCTTAGATTTAGGGAAATTAAATATAAAACACTAACTGGGTCTTTTTATTACTGGAACCTGTGGTCTTCTCAGTTGTGTTACCATGTGGGTCTGAGGTAACTGAGGTAGAAAGTTCACCGTGGTGTCATAGGATGAACTGAGCCTAATACATGTTGTTTCGAGCCAGCATATTTAGATTTCACTTTACTTATGAAGTGTATTTTGTTTTCTTTAGTACAATGCTTCGTCCCAGCAGCAAAGAGAAATAATTAAAAGTAGGAGCCTGGATAGGCGGCTTCAGGAACCAATAGTATTAACAAAGTGGAGGCATAGTACCATCGTATTGGACACCAATGACAAGGTAGGACTTTCAGGGAAAATGAAGAATTTTGGCATGTTCTTTTTATATTATAGTGTATAGTAAATTGTAACCATTTGTTCTAACACCTCGTTTTATGTAATGTTCTGTGGTTCAGTATGATCCTTTGCTAAAACATTTGATTTCTGTTGAACCAACTTAAGCTTTGATTTGCATTATACTAAAATGTATCCCTATTTATTTATTTTTTCCTGAACTAAATTACCTATCTTAGTGGCTAGTGTTTTATCTGTTTTTTTTGGAGTAGGTTTTGGCTTTGGATTTTTTCAGTTTCTGCAGTGTACTGACTTAGTTGTAGCTTAGTGATGTATGTGCTTGACATACTAGAACCTAGTAAGTGACATTTTAAAGTCATACTTCTTTCATCCTTTACATGTCTTCATTTCAGTAGGTTTCACAGTGGAGGCCCTTCTCATCTAAGGAAAGGCTAGAATTCAGATCCATTTTGATGCAGATATCTAAGAGACGGTTTAAAATCTTCCTTAGGAATTACATCTTTACAATGTGGCTTCATTTGAGGGGTATGGGGCCCCTCGTACTTGTTTGAAGAACGTCAGTCACACCAGTATTAAAATGCAAAGGTGGTGGTAATAGCCCCAAACTAAATAAACTTACTTGCGCTTTTTTGAGGCTGGGTCTCACTGTGCATCCCAGGCTGGCCTTGAACTTGTGGTGATTGCCTTGCCTCAACTTTCTGAGTGCTGGGATTACAGGCATGTGCACCATGCCTGTCATTTTTAAAGAAAGATACGTATCATTGAGGACTGACTCTTTCCCTTTCTTTTTTCTTTTTTGACCATAAGCCTTCTCTTTTAGCAAAATTAAGTTTTCCAAAAATTTTTTTGCTGTATTTTTTAGGTGTGCTAGTGAAAATAAACTCTTAAGACATACTTATCTATATTTGGAAATTTTCAGTCACAATTCCTTTATAAATGATTAATTTCAATTGATCAGTCAAAATAAGTATACTATTTTGATATACATGATTGAAAAGTTAACCTTTGTATGTTAACAGTGGACTTGTATGGAGCTATAAAAATAGTTGACACACATTTGTAAGATGGACTTAAAGAACGACAATGAAAGTGGACCAGTTCATAGCTTTTGTTTTATGAGAATGTTATGCAACTGACTATAGAAGGCGTGTTAAATAAATAACATTCTGAAGTCTGTGCTATTGAAGATACGTTTGAAAATAGCATTGGCCTAGGCAGGTGAAATTCCTAGAGATTTTTTAATAGAAAAATTCATCAAAGCTCTTAAATACCATGTATAATACTCCAGGGCAAAAGGCATTGTTAAATTACTCCGTTTCCTGTTTGTATCAGCACAAATAAAAGGTGGTAATTTGATGATACATTTAAAAGTTCTTGTTTTAAATTTCTCTTGAGATCCATCTTCAGTGATGAAGTCATTATATTTCCTCTTTGATTTAATTGTCCCAGAGTTGCAGGAATATGATTGTCTTGAGATTACTTATTTTGAATAGAAATGCCTCCCTTGCCTTTGTAAATTGATTCATAATTGCTTCATGAAGTAAACTTTTCCATTTGTCATTACCTATATGAGGTGAAATAAAAAAGTGAATGTCTACATTTTTAAAAAATTGTAGTAAAAGACACATTGCCATTAATCCCTCTCAAAATACTCCTCACTTTGAACACACTTAACATGTCATTCTTGCCACTTCTAAACCACTTAAAGAAGTTCCTCTTGTCTTTGGTTCCACTGTCATGGCTGCCTCGATGTCCTTAGTTGATTAAAAATATTTACCTCTCATGGTCATTTTGACTTTGGGAAGTCAGAAGTCTTATGATGCCAGGTGTGGTGAGTAAGGTGGATGAAGACACACTGCAGGGATTTTCAAGCCTGCCGTTGTGTTGGGTAGCATTGGGCAGCAGCATTCACGGTGCTTTGGACCTCACCGTAAAGACACTCATGAAAGAAGACTGCTGGTAGTGGCTCTTCAGAAGTGAGCAGTGGGCAAGTGCATTAGAAGCAAGGGGTATTACTTTTGAGGATTAATGGCAGTATGTCTTTTACTGTAAAATTTTTTAAAATACTAAATATTCACCATATATTTTGGTCATGCCTGTATATACCTTTTAAAAATAGGGCAGTCTTTTGAGGCTGTGAAAAAAGAACTTATCAGAACAGTGCGTTAGATAATAGATAAAGTATATGTGAGTTGAAAGAGGCCAAAGAAACTTCGTGCTGTGTAGCGAGTGCTGTTATGCAGCACAGGTACTAGTTCAGCCTGTGGGTGACCTTGCAGGGTGTAGGTGTTCACTGTGAGTGAGTCTCCTTGCTTCTGCTTATGTGTGGTTTTTATTAAAGCTCCTGTTCGTAGACATTATTTACATATGCATGTACATTTATAAATGTTAAATCGTTCCTGTTTATACTAGTGATAATTGCTATGCATAGATTGTTATTCCATATTTGTCTTTTATCTCTAAGACCAGCAGTTTTATGAAAAATAAATCATAATTACTTTTTTAAAGTCAAATGACAAAATAATAAGTTCAAGTAACTTATTTCTGGTTTGTGGATCAGCAAATCTTTCCTGTTTGTCAGACTGTTTTAATAATATACCCTTTTGTAGAAGGCAAAAAACCGACCTGAAGTTGTCAAAAATCTTAAGTGAGGGTACAGTGAAATTTGGAAAGTAAGTTTAATTACTTTTTGTAGACATTTTTGATGTGATTTGAGTATTTTCTTCATTAATGGTATTTCCCTTGGGTGTTTGATTTGTAAAAATATCCCCTTAAATGTTTCCCTGTAAACTCCTAGATGCCTCATTTCTGTGTTTACAAATTGTGTAGCTGCTAATTCTGACGATGACCTTTTTCTAGGTGAACAAATGTTGTTAATGGTTTTTGCAATACTATTTAAAACAAATTCCCTGACTTGTTTTTCGTACCTTTTCCAATTTTCATGAATGTAGAAAGCTAGAATAATACAAATGTGGAGATGAATGTTCAAAGGTATTATTTAGTGGTGGGAAAATTAATAATAGATATTGGCATATGATTTTTTTTTTTTTTTTTTTTTTTGGTTTTCTTTCCGGTACCGGGAATTGAACTCACGACCTCGCGCTTGCCAGGCAGGTGCTGTGCTGCTGAGCTAAATCCCCAGTCCCTGGCATATGATTTTTAAAAATTCTCTTTTCCTAGAAGTATTCAGAGCATCTTGGAATAGAGAAAATTTAAATGAAACAAGGCTATTGGTATCAAAAAATGTTTTTCAGTCTTATCCCCCATGAGTAGTCCTGTAGTTTTAAATTTTGACAAAGCAGACTGATTATAAAACCACACGCTAGTTTACTCTTAGGATTCTGTAAACCTAGATGTTAAAACATTTTTTTTCCTTATGAGTTATTAATCTTTTAATCTTAGCTTTCTTCCTTTCATAGTTTTAATCTTGCATTTTTCTAATCACCAGAAAGTTAGCTATAAGTTACTTTAAATATTAAGAGGATATAGTTATTGAGTAAAATAGCTGTATAGCATATAACTGTTGACCAAAGTAAAATTTTCTTTGGGAAGCTACCAAGTAATTCCTGTGAGTATTCCTTGCCTAATCCTATGTATTCATACCTGCCATATCAACTGCAAGTTAGTATGATGACTGATACATATTTTTCTAGGAGAGTTTAGACTTGACTTATTTAAAATATGGTTATTTCAGAATGATATAACATCATAACTTTAAACCAACATGAATCACTTATTTTAAGTAACATTGCATGCATTATTAAAATGTAATCACTACAAAAGACGCCATATCTCATAAACTTTTTATAGCCCTGGTAGTTTTCAAACCAGTAACATACTAATTTTCAAACTAAATATAGAAAGGAAAATAGTTCTCTTAGATAACCTAATTAAGCTCTCCCACTGTGAGTACAGGCAGAAATAGGATTATATAAAATAGAGTAACTTTTTTCATTACTTATTTTTTGTAGGAATCTCCAACTGCCTCAAAACCCTGCTTTCCTGAAAATGAATCTTCTCCCTCTTCACCAAAGCACCAAGACCCAGTTAGTATAATAAAAGCATATAACATAGTCCAGTTGTCACAATCAATTTTAGTAAATTATAAAATGTAATGCTTAAGTATTTCCTGGCCTTCTACTACGCATTATTGTTTTTTTGTTTTTTTTTTTTTTTTTTTTTAAGGAAAAAGTACAAGTAAGACAGGTTTGAAATTAAGACTCAGATTTTATTGACTTAAAATACCCCCTTTGTCCAACATACTATATCTAGCATGATTAATTTATAAACTACATTTGTAGGTGACCACTTTATATTTGTTTTTTAAAATAAATATTGAAATTCCCAGAGAATGCTATGAAGTTATACTTTACCCTTTTTTCCTCAGGGCAGCAGTGCAAAGGTAAGAAGCGTGCCCTTCCTGCCTAACAAGCGTAGACGTTCTGCTTTTCCTGTGCTGTGCAGTCTTGGTCAGGGAATTGGGAGCTCCTGCCTCTCAGCTCTGTTTCCCCATGACTGGGAAATCTCCCAGCACGCCCTTCTTTTCTGACAGCATCCCGCTTCAGTGTGGGTTACTGGATTTCTGCGGGACACTCTCTCCAGGTCTTCCCGCCTTGCTGACCTTGGGAGTGCCTTTCCGTGCCTTCCCTGTTCTTTCAGAAGGAAGTCTACAGTTTTTCGTGAGGACAGGAAGCCTGTGTGTGCTCTGGCTCCTGACTGCTTTCCAGCTTAATCTCATCCTCCTGGTCTCGTCCTCTTCCTTTCTCGCGCGTTGCCTCCTGCTCCACTGACCCCTGCAGGCCCTTAAGGACTTGCTCTGAGCTCAGAGTCTTGCCGTGTCACTGCCCTGCCGCGAGACTGTTCTCTCCTTTGTGTTTGCTGGTTCATTCTGTGGGGCTCAGTTCTGATTTGCTTGCTCAGAGAATTTCATTGTGCATCTGTAGATAGTATCTAACTGTATTCTGCTTGATTTCATAAACTGGAGTAACTCTTCGTCACTTGTGTCTTGCGGAACCTCCACTTCTGTCTGTGTCTGTCTTCCCATTACACAAAGAAAAGCCTCAAGGCAGGAAGAGAGACCCTGGCACCACTGCAAGGCCATATAGTCGCTACTCAGTATTGCTGAATGAATATTAAATAAAATTTTAAAGCTTTTTAAAAGACAAACTTATATCATTAATTGTCTTTTTTTTTTTTTTTGGTCTTCTTGAGACAACGTCTCGATATGCAGCTCAGGCTGGCCTTGAGCTCACTTTGTAGCCCAGGCTGGTCTCGAACTTGGAACGATCCTCCTGCCTCAGCCTCCTGAGTGCTGGGATTCCAGGCGTGTGCCGCCACGCCTGGCTAATTGCCTATTTTTTGAAGTTGTGATGAATAGACTTATTTTTTAGTCAGACTTCGTATTTCTCTCAGTCAAAGGCAAAGACTTCCATACCATTTCTTCACACATTTCCCTCTGACATTGTTTTAGGCAGCCTTCTTGTGGACGATAGGCCTTCTTTACGTACAGATAAAGTCTGTGCTTTTTTTTTCTCCCAGTACTAGAGGTTCAACCTAGATTGGTTCAACCTGATTTGGACTGAGCTACATCCCCAGCTCCTTTTTATTTTTCATTTTGAGACACAGTCTTATTAAGTGATTAAGTGGCCAAAACTGGCTTTGAACTCAGTCCTCCTGTCTCAACCTCGTAGAATGGTGGAGTTACAGGTGTGTGCCATCATCCCTCTTTTGGGAGGCCCTTGCCACATTGGCCTCACGTAATACGTATCTCCTTTTATTTCTGAGCTCCCAAGTCACGTGTTGCACTGAGTAAATGGAAGTTACTTCATATACCCTCAGTCTTCCCACTAGGTATAAACCCATAAAAGAGTTTATAGATGGGGACCACATGTTTCTACTTTTTGTTTTGAATTTTCTGACGTGGTACTGTATTCATAAACATTAGGTAAAGATAAAAGTGAACATGATTTTAGTGGTTTGGCAGGAGTTCTTGTGTGAATCTAAGGCCTAACCCTCAGTGTTCCTAGTCTGTTACACCATTTAGGAAAAAACAGCAAGAAACTCACCTTATTTTAAAGATAAGTAGCATACAGTTTCTAGGAAGCCCCTTTATAGGTGTGTACACTTTGATAAAAGGGAATTTCTGATTAACTCTACAAAAAGGTATTTTTAAGCCTTCATGCAGTTTCAGAGGACTGTTGACATTATTTCTCCAGCCACTTACCTACTTTGTGGAAAGGTTGACAGCAACTAGACCTGAACGTAACCACGGCACCCTCCAATGGCCATCACTGGGAACTGCCACTCTGATGTTTTTTTTTTTTTTTTTTTTGAGCTGGTCTCAGTGTACTGTGGTTCAGACCAGCCTTAAAATTCACTATGTATGAAGCCCAAGCTAGCCTCGAGTTTGCTGTGCTGATCCTCCTGTCTCAGCCTCCCAAGTGCTGGGATTATAGGCAGGCACCACCATGCCTGGCCCGCTTCAGTCTCTTCTAATCAAACGAGATTTAATATTCTGTCCCTTAATATAAATTTTAAATGTTAAATTTTTTCCTTAAGCTTCATTTTCAGTTTTCAGATGCATTATTATTTTCAGAGTCCCTTCAAATCTTTTTTTTTTTTTAAATAGGCTATATGGACTTCTTGAAAAATCAATCATATTTTTCCACAAGATGCCTACTGTGTGAATTATATAGGCTTTTGTGGCCTGATCTAGAAGTTACTCCTTATTTGTCCTGATGTGCCTATGAGTGTATGCACTTTAACATTCCCAGTTACTGAATGCTGAGAAACATTTCAGAGCATATAATTTGGGAACTTGAGTTTTTGACCTTGTATACTGAACTGTGGTATTAAAATGTACCAAACATTTTGGAGAAAAGGACATTCCAGTAATTTCTTTAACAAGACTATTAGTGGGTTAATTTGCTGTTTCTTAATTGAGTAGTAGTTATTCTAAGCCTTTTCTAAAAACATGATGTGCATATCTAATTTTTAAGTAACACTAACCTTTCATTTTTATTGAGGTAAAAATCATATAACATAAGATTAGCCACCAGCCACTTTAAAGTGTACAATTTGGTGGCATGTAGCATCTTTACAGTTGAGTACAACTATCACCTCTGTCTGGTTACAGGACATTTTCATCTCCCCAGAGGAAACCTAAACCCATTAGACATTTGCCCCCGCCTCCGCAGTGCTGATGATGCAGGAATGCACCATGGTGCCCACTGGCCTAAGATGTGTTTATGAAGTTATCTCTGTAAGCAACACAAGCACATTGACTGATTTTGAGTCATATTTTAAAAATATACTGTACAGAATGAAATTAAAGTTTGCCTTACTTGGGGAAATACTTTCCTCAAGTCTCTTACTGCATTATGACATCCATCCACCTATTTAGTACTTTCAAATCAAATTCAAAATCTTTGGTGTTGAGAAGTTAAAGCTTTGCTTTCTCTGTTGCTGAATTTCTCATATTTTTTCCTGTTGTAGCATTGACTTGCTAGCAAATTCCTTCTAAATTATGTCCTGAACGCTGACTGTGTGCTAGATGCAGGCCCCAGGCTGGTGAAGATAACAGATGTGGTCCAACATACGGCTCAGTCAAGTAAACCATGAATAGAACACATACGCAATAGCACTTTGAGTTAAGTGTCTCTTAGTCCACTTGGGCCGCCACAACAAAAATATCACGAACTAGGTGGCTTGTAAGCAGTAGAGGTTTACTTCTCACAGTTCTGGAGGCTGACGTTCGTAGGCACTGGTGGATTTGCTGTGTGCTGAGGGCCTCCTTCTCTGTATGTCCCCTCGTGGCAGAAGGGACAAGGGCAGTGATCCCAGCCGTGAAGGATCCACTTTCATGTTCCCGGTCACCCCGAGGACCAGTGGGGGTTAGGTTTTCACATAGGATTTGGGGGACATAAGCATTCAGTGTACAGTAAAGTGTAAAGAAGGAATTGCACCAGGTAGTAGGAAATAACGACAGGCTGTTCACTACTTTTACGAGGTGGGAGGAATTCCTACTGAGGAGCGATCAGGGACGGCTTCTCTAAAAAGAGAAACCAAGATCGCTCTGTCTGCCAGACACGCGCCCACAGTCCCCCTTTCTCCCTCACTGCAGCGTCCGGTCAGCTTGCCGCGTGGACTGGGCCCCTCTTTTCCCTGGCATGCTGCCGTCCAGGCCTTCCTCCCCTCTTACAGTAGTTGCAGGAACAGGGCTCCACTTGTTTCCCCGTTGTGCTGCTGTCTGTCTTCTTTCTTCCAGTGTCTCATTTCTTGCCACTTCTTCCACCTTGCTAACTCCTACTCCTTTGCTCCAGGAAGCTGATCGTCTTCTTTCTTTCCCAGGTTGAGCGTGGTGTTTTTTTCCATGCTGAGTTAGGTAGACATTTCTTACAGCATTTAACACATTATGTAGTAATTAGTTTTTGTATTTTTAATAGATTTGATGTGGCCCATTTTATTTTTGTAATGTTCAGGTTAGAGTACTTAATACTTACAGCATTCATACTTGGGTCTTGGTCCCTGCTGAGAGTTTGGTGAGGGCTCTGGGCCCTTTGAACACTGCTTAACATGTGCAGTGTTGCACCAGTTTCTGTTCGTCTGCTGACCAGGTAAGCACCCCTGACTTAGACAGTCTCTCTTATCTTTAGGCTTAGGGAGTTACTACTGTGATTCTACCCATTTTTCTTGCTTTTTGGATGCTTGTATTTCCTTTCTGCCTCTGTTGCTTTCACATAATTTCAGCTATGGCATTTTTTACTGGCTTTAATTCCCATTTCTTTGCCTTTCCAATTTCAGTTCCCATAGCCAGTGTCCATCTATTCTGATTAATGCAGTTTCTTAGTTTCTATCATTGGAAGACTTCTCTTTGCTTCAGAGATTGAGAATGCTGTTGTTAAACCTCTTGTCCATAAGAAAGTGTATGATGTTTCCATTGAGAGGCAATAGTTCTAAGGAAGAGTATCAAATTCTAGAAACTGAGTATTACGTTTATCTCCCATATAACGTATATTTCCTAGTTAAGGTACATTGAGAAAATATAGCTGAAGAATCAGCTAAATATTCAAAAATAAATTCTGAACTGAAAATAATTTGCTGTCTGAGTATGTGTTTGTATGTTTGTGCACATTTTTTTTTTGGGGGTACCAGGAGTCAAACTCAGGACCTCACGCTTGCCAGGCAGGTGCTGCACCACTGAGCTAAATTCCTGACTCTTGTGCACATTTCAGTTGACTAGCATGTACATATAGTTCTTACTAGAGGTGATAATTACTGTAGGCATCAACCCATTGTATTAAATTTATTTGGCTCTAGGAAGCTGAAGCTGTGAGAATGTACTTGTCATTACAAAGGATTAAAATAACACTTAAAACTAGTATAACTGGTATAATGGCCATTGTTGTCATCAGACCTGATGGTAAATTTTTTTGTCATCACAATGTTTTTTACATTAATAGGCTAATCTAGTGTTTTTCAGAGCCTGCCTCCCCTTGTAATATGTTCAGTGAAGCACGTCTTGAAATTTTTATATTACATTAAAGCCAGTTCTGTGCAAAGTACCAGTTACTTCTGAATAAGATTTTGAAAAGTCACTGTGTTTTACCTATTTTTACATTCTGACAAAGTGGATAAGTAAATTGAGTACTTTACAAATTTTTTTGTGTGTGATTTTTATCATTATAGCATTGTATCATTTTCCGTGAACAGGAAGAAATAAATTATTTTTATGGTGTTAACTTGTTCCTTTGAAAATCTAATTTAATAGCAAGGTACTATTGGATGTTATAACTTAGGAGAAGAAGAAAGTGTTTAACTGTAAAGTTATTGAATGTAATTTTACAAAGTATTAGGAAAATTGTATTAATGTCCTCTAGAACCAAGTTTGTTACATACTTACTAATCTTTTAAGTTAATTTTTATACTGCCAGAACATTTGGGTTCAGTTGTGTATTAAAACTCAAGCATCACTGTTTATATGAATGATATGTAAGTGTATTACTCCATTCCATAGGGTCAAGAGAAATATGGATTGTTAAATGTAACAAAAATTACTGAAAATGGGAAAAAGGTTCGGTAAGTACACAAATTTTTAATGTTCTATTGAAATGAATAAAATATTTTATAAATATAATTATATTCTAGGACAAATGATTAAAAGGTTCAGAAGAATTTCTAATGTATTTTCTGGTGCTATAGCATGTGTAAAATTTTCATGAAATGGATGAAACATTTCTTTTGCCTTGAAATATTTCTTAAATAATGTTAAATTCTGAGATATTAAGGTATAGGATTCTGAGGAAGTATTCATTTTCTTTTAATACTTAACTGTTTTTCAATAAGCAGTAAATGTACACGCTCACTGCACATGGTAAAAGTTGCTATTGTGTGAAAAGTCGTTCACCTGGCCATCCGTTCCTGAAGTCTCATGGTAGGCAGGATGTATATCTAGATGTTTGTGTGTACGTAGGTTTTCATCATCATTATTTATTATTGCTGCATCCCCCTACCATTTTTATTATTTTGAGACAGGATCTTGCAAAGTTGCCCACACTGGACTCGAACTGGCCACTTTTCTGCTTTGGCCTCCCAGATAAGTTTTGAACACAGCCTTTTTACAGTTTGTCTTGGAGATGATTCCATTTCAGAGCTGCGTATTGTTTTTAACCACACCAGGGTTAGACGTCTGTTGGGTTAATAACCCTAGTTATTGTGGGCTGATGAGGCCTGCGTCTCCCAAACAAGTGGATGGCGAAGGCTTAAATAAATGAGACAGTTGAAATGACTATAGGGCTCCAAGAGGGTCCAACTCTCCTGCAGTATTGAAGATTCTCTGGATTAAGACCCAGAGGTCCCTGGGCTGCTGGTGTTTATTAGGTTTTCAAATAAAGGAGGGGGATACTGAAGAAATGCAGGAATCTGGGCAGGACTTGGGAATCCCTTTCCAGAATTCTCCGAGTAATACTTATGTTAATTTAGGAGAACTAAGTTAACTCCAGGAAGGCCTTCACTGCAGGAGTGAGATGCTGCAGCTGCAGTCTCCTTTTAGTTAATTGAGCCAAAAGTCCTTAACTGTGGCCTTATCTTGGCCTTTGAGGCCTCTTGGCTTCACCCACCACTACAGGCTTCAGTAGGGACCAGTGACTGGCAAACATGGGAAGCCAATTGGTTAATGTAAGTCCTGCTCAGAGCTGCTTCATAGTGGTCTCCATCAAATATCTCTGTATTGTAGTTAATTTAACCATTACTAATTTGTAAGTGTGTGACTGTCCCTACTGGTAGACATTTAGGCTGCTTACAGTTTTTGCTTTTACAAACAATATTACACTTAGCATTTTGCATAGTTCATTTTGCAAGTATGTAAGTATGCCTATGGAATAAATTCACAGAGCTAGAATTACTAGCATATTCAAGGTTGTTTTATTTATTTATTTTTTGTCTTTTTGAGACAGGGTTTCACTGTGTAGTTCAGGCTGGCCTTGAACTCATTTTGTAGCCCAGGCAGGCTGCAATCCTCCTGGCTCAACCTCCCAAATGCTGGGATTACAAGTGTGCACTACCACCCCCTGGCTTGCAAGGTCATTTCCATAGTGTCCAGCAGCTGGGGATACAGTTCAGCAGCAAGCGCAAGGTCCTGAGTTTGATTCCCGGTACCCTACCCCGCCCCCCGCCCCCCGGCAAAATTGTGTTCAGATTGTCTTCTGAGCTACTGAATCATTTTCTGCCTCCAGTAACAATACGTTTGTCTACGCCTTTGCACATTGAATATATTGTCAGGTTCTTTGATGCTTCCTGATAAAGGTTAAAGAGAAGATGATGCTTTTATTTACATTCCTTTTAGTGGAGAGTCATAAGCTGTGTGTGTTTTTGTTGAATGGTCTTTTATACCCTTTTTTCTGTTAGGTTGTGGACTTTTGGTACTAATCCTAATAATTAATCCTGCTGAAATGAACTCTGTAAGATAAGTTGTATTTCCCCTGGGTTTTAACAACTGCTACAGTGCTGTGATTTTATAGAGAAAATTAGATTGTTCTGCTAAGAAAGTTTTAAATTTATAAATATTTGGGTTTATGTATTTATCTTCCATGCTGAGAATTGAACCAGGGCCTTTGCACTGAGCTATGTCTCCAGCCCTTTTCAAAGTTTTTTTATTTTGAGGCAGGGTCTTCCTGATTTGCCCAGATTGGGCTTGAATTTGCTGTCCTCCTGCATCAACCTCCCAGAGTGTTAGTATCATAGGTGTGAACAGTCACACCCGGCTTGCAAGTATTTAGATATTTTTAGATTTTTAAAAATGTGACTGCCTTTGTCAGATTGGTATTTCAAAGTTTTTCCATAAGTGCTCTGATATTGCTTTATAAATATTACAATTATATGTTCTTGGTAGAATTCATTTCTAAATTGGGTCTTTTTCTCTTTTCTGTTTTGGTATATGTATTGCAGATAGCTTTCTGACCATTTCTTTTGTTTTTGTTTGTATTGTTGTTTTTCCTGTGGTAAAAGTCTTTTAGATTTTTCTCTTTTTGAAATACTTTAACATTTTTTTTCCCCCTAGCTTCCATTTCATTATCTTCAAATTTGTTTACATGGAGTGGAATAAAATAGTCTGTTAATCTGAATATTACTGGTTCTCAAACCTTTTGGTCTGAAGACCCTGCTAAACTGTAAAAATTTATTAATTTTTAAAATTATTAGTTATTTGCAAGAGATTTTGTCTATATACATTATGTCCATAGATACTTAGGGTGAAAAACAGAACTCTCTTTATTTTTCTGGTACTGGAAATTGAACTCAGGACCTTGCACTTGCCAAGCAGCCACTGAAGGACTGAGCTCTATCCCTGGCCATAAAACAGAAATCTTAAGAAGATTCTTTTTAGAACAGCCTATTACAATTTAACATGAGTAACATTTTACGAAGAAAGAATCCTTTATTTTTTAAGACAAAAAACTTTCCATGAGAAGAGAAACATTGTTTTTGTAAACCTTTAGTATTTGTCTTAGTACAAGACAGTGGAGTTCTTTTGTTTGCTTGCAATCTGTTGTCACAGTATTTGGTTAGAATATATGAAAAGAATCTTCCCTTACATAGCTAAAGTTGGAAAAAGGAAAATTTTAACAGCCTTTTCAGATAATTGTGTATGGGTTTTTTGCCATGCCTAAATTCTACAAGTGATACCTTTTTAAAGGTTAGTTGCAGTGAAAATTGATAATCTACCAACTTTTCATACTCGATTAAAAGTTATATCTTTTGTTGCACTTGAACAAATCTTCAGCCATGCATAATTTAAGCATATACTGTAGGTCATTTGGAATTACTGAGTCATTAGGTGTTTTACATATATTTCCAGTGCTTTACATATTTTAATTGTGTTCTATTCAAGGTTCACAAATTAGTGATATCAGAAGTCATTAGGTATTAGGAAATTATCAAACTCAAGAGGCAGACGACATGTTCTTTAAAATTCTATTTGAAAGGTTTAATTTTTTGTGTGATAAGCACTAGTTGTATAGTTTTTCTTATTTTGAAAATTAAAGTTTTAAAAAATGACAGTATGCTAATTGAAGGATTTTTCATTGTAGGGAATCACTAGATGGTAACTAAGAAATAGAAGCCTAAGAGTATAAAATAAACTTACAAATAAAAACAAGGCATCTCAGAATATCTTGAGACCAGGCACAAAAGAATAACAGAATTGTAGTAGAACAAACCCCAGATATGTCTGTCATATCGGTATCAATAAACACAAAAGGTCCATACTCATCTATTGGAACAGAGCTGCCTAGACTGAAATATATAGCAAAACCCAGTTAAGTACTGTGTTCAAAAGAAACAAGTATAAATGATGCAGAATTTAAAAAAAATCCACAATAAGTGGATTTTAAGATCTAAAAAGTAACAGCAGACAGAGTTTAACCTAGGCAAAAAAAAAAAAAAAAAAAAGCATTGCGATAAATTGCAAAATCGTTCTGAAATAAAAAATCTTTTTTGGAGTGCCTATGCAGGTTGCACAAAACTAGCTGTGTGTGTTTATAGGGGAAACTTTAATACATTCCTACAACAGATATATTTTATTATCTCCGCAGCTGAGTTCCATTTTAAGATAATTTTGTTTTCTTGTTTGGGAGGACTGATCTATACCTGCTGTTTGAACAGTGTTTTGCTAGTATTTAAGTAGATACAAAAATAAAAGTGTTCGTGCCTTCAAATAATTTATAATTGCAACAGGAGAGAAAAACATTGGAGCAAGAATCTCTAGTACAGAGTTAAAGACATGCCGGGAGAAGTTGAGCGGAATCTGGCCAGTATGTAACATTAAGAACTTTTAAAGTTCTCAGGACACTGATAGTAGCATTTCAGTATAAATTTTACTTCTTTGTCTAGAGATAGGACAGTAAACAAGTGGACACTTTCTCCTTTAACAGCTTCACGTACACCAAACTTCTTAACATTGGTTACCTCTGGAGTACGGGTTGGAGGAAGAGATGTTTTTTTTTTTTTTTCCCTTTATATATTTCTGTAGTCAGTGTTTTTACATGTATGTATTACTTTTTTTCTGTTTTTGGAGACAGGGTCTTGCTATGTAGTTTAGGCTGGCCTTGAATTCATGGCAGTCCTCCTTCCGCGGCATCCTGAGTACTGGGATTACAAGCTTGCACCACCATGCCTCACTATGTTGCTTTTGTAATTTAGGAATTTAAAAAAACCTCATCTTAGTAATAGTGACTCCAGTGATCAATCAGTATGTGATTTATTGTATACTTATAATGTGTCTAGTATCTATTGCCTGTCTAGGGCATTCCTATAACCAAGAAATAATAAAGTAGTCTGGGCCTGTAAAGAAATGAATGAGGTAAACAGGTCTAAGTTTTAATTGTAAATTAGATTTCTTGCTAAATGTGATGTTCCGTTTGTGTGACTTTAAAATGGTGTCCTGATTACACAGTATGCTAGATTAGTTCCATGTAAAAATAATTCGGCGTTCTTGGTCATGGTTATTCTGACAGTTTATATTTCTGATTAGCTCCATGTGTTTTGGAACATTTATGATCAGGTTAGGACTATAACTGTAAATTCTATTAGCATCAGATCTCCCATAAAATAGGCAGAATGTCAGTAATGACTGTAAATTGTAGGTCACGTTGGTAACAATTAAGGAGGTTTTGATATCTAAAATTTGATTGGAAGAACTGGATAGCAGAGCTTTAATTGATCATCTTTATAATTGCAGAAAGAACTGGTTGTCTTCGTGGGCAGTGTTACAGGGTTCGTCTTTACTTTTTACCAAAACCCAAGGAAGTAGCACAAGTTGGGTAAGTATTTCTTGTTTTTGGAGGCATTATATGCTTAAATTATGTGGATAATTTTATACTTGCATTTCAGGAAGTCGTTTTGAGAGTCCTAGTTACAGCATGTGTGCATGTAAAAATAAATGAAGTTTTCTTGAAAGAGAAAGAAGAGGACTAATTAGAAAAGTCTAAATGAATGATGGGCTCATTTTCAGGCATTATAAATGAAAGAGTTCCTTGATCATTTTTCAGAATGTCAGAGGTTTTCTGTGTTGTGACTTACTTCAGATGTGTAGTCAGCGAAGCTGTGATGTGGCGGACTCCACCTTGCGTGGTTGACCCTTGTCACTAGTCAGTGACTCAGGTGTCTGTGTGTGATGTCAGCCAGCTTTTAGAAGAAAAAAATAATCACTTTCACTTGTGGGAGTTTGATGATTTTTATATATTTGTCTGGATACTATTGCTGTTCAGTTACTTGTAATATAAATACTAGCAATTATAATTTGTGACATGATTGCTAACAATTTTTGAGTGTTGAATAAGAATTAACTGTTGTTCTCAGTGCAGAGGTTAGTGAATATCTTCCTCACTTTGGGAGAGCTCTGATATTCTTCTCTGTTACCACTATCATACAATGAGGTACTAAACAGTCTAAGGCCTTAGTCTTACTAAGTAGCAGATCTGGGTTTAACACCTTGACACTTTGGCTCCAGTGTTCATGCTTTGAGTACTTGTAAAAATTTTCAGTAATTGTATCAATATTCAAGTAAAATTTACAATGAAATTATCCTAAATGTGTTGGTTTGCTTCGTATTCTACCTAACCCAACATTTTCTTAGTTTCTGAGTTGCTATAAAATTCATGTAGGGCCTGTGATTCATAAGTTTGATGGAAGAGAAATCCACTTATAAAATGTAAGCAAATTTTAGTCATGTATATTTATAATACTGTCCTGAAACATTATTTAGAGCCACGAACGCCACACAGCCTGTTAGTTCCCTCCTACTCTGCTAAGGCAACCTAAAATAATCCGTGGACATTCTAGAGTATTTCTCATCTTCTTTCTCTAATCCTTTGATTTGCTCCCTACAGCCAGTACAGTGGAAATGGCCTGTGATACACTTCCATGTTATAAGATGGGAATGTTGATTTTACTTAAAGTACTTTGATAATTAGGTCTTTCTCCTTTTCCCTCTCAGGTAAAGTGTATGGTGCTTTTTTGTGTGTATGTGTTAATGCATTTCTAAAGCACTGTGTAATTCTTTCTTGTACTTGTGGCTCAAGTTTTATTTGAAATTAAGTAAAGAAAATGGATGAAAAGAATGGAGAAGCAATTAGATATTAATAAGTAATAGTAAAGTACCTGAAGCAAGCTGCATTATGCTCATGTACTTGCTAATTGACAATACTTAGAGATTAAAGGTGAATGGTGTGTAAGATAATGCAAATAGAGCAGTGTGGTAAGTGAAGCATCATTTAGATAGGTGGGTTTGTATGGGACTTAAACAGAGTGAAAACTTCCTTTTAAATTTAAAGATATCAAGTGAACACTCCAGCCCATAATCATTAGTATAGGATGGCTGCATTCTATTTCAGGGTTTTCTTTAGAACTCCTTATATAATTCAGAACCCATAAAGTGTGTTAATGCCAACAAAGAGTGCAGGATGTATCCATCGCCTAAAATTATGTTAGTGTGTTACCATGTAGGAATGGCAAACCATAGTTTAAAATTCACAGTGTGAGGCTGTAGAATTCTTTTTTTTCCTGTTTTATTTTTTTGAGACAAGTTCACACTGTAGTTCAGGCTGATCTTGAACTCACATCAGTCCTCCTGATTGAGCCTCTTGGGTGCTGGGATTATAGGCTTACACCACTACACCCAGCTTTCAGTTCTTAAGTTTTATTTTATGGCTTCCTCTCTCTTTCCCTCCCTGTCTCCTTCCTTCCTTCCTTCCTTCCTGCCTTCCTGCCTTCCTGCCTTCCTGCCTTCCTGCCTTCCTGCCTTCCTGCCTTCCTCTCTCTCCCTCCCTCCCTCTCCCCTCTCCCTCTCCTCTTTCTTTCTCTTAGTTCCTTTTTTCTCTTCTCTTCTCTTCTCTTCTCTTCTCTTCTCTTCTCTTCTCTTCTCTTCTCTTCTCTTCTCTT